GAAGTGATTGATACGAAAGGGCGAAGGGAGCAAGAGAATGAGGAGTTATTATTTCCCAATTCTATATAAACCAATAAGTGACTTTCCCTTATGAACTTATGATACTCTGGTCTCTGATCTGTGGGTCAATGAATTAAAATAGATGTGTGGAGGAAAATAGCAATGGATTTGTCTCATATGAAATAAGATCCAATGTCCATTTACAGAGAAACCCCATTCTCTAAAGCAGGAGTTTTTAACTTTTTCATGTCCTAGACATCTTTGGCAGACTGATGAAGTCTATAGACCCCTTCTCAAAATAATATTTTAACCATATAAAATATATAAGATTGAGAAAGTTATGCAGGTATCAGAATATTTATTTTTCAAAAGTTCATTGACCTTGGGTTAAGAACTTCCACAAAAGGCTATTAACTGTTGATGTCTCTAAATTCTCTACGTATCTCAATCTTTCTCTTACTTGCTTCTTGTTCATCCATGTTTTCTGATGGGCAAAGAACTTCATAAATACATACTTTATACAGCCTCTAGTCTGCAGTAATAGCAGTACTATGGGAATGGCAGATGCTTTTGAAAGGAAAAGTTAGATAATCTAACACATCCTGAGTTTGCTATTGAACAGAGATATTTCAGAGAGTAAGTATCCTATTTAATGTATCAATATACTTTGATGTCATATTATGATTCTCACATAATTGTAGGTAATAATTCAACTCCATTCTCCCCTTCTAGCATAAAAACATGCCTTCTGCCATCCCCCCCCCCCCCCAGGAAAGGAATTTTAAAATCCTGCTGCTGCTGCTGCTGCCTGTGGAGGGGATGTAAGAGAGACTAAACATATTTCTTCTGTTAAGGCATAGAGCACTCTCCTTAGAAAGGATGATGATAGCAATTTCTATGAAACACAGGCTAAAGAGACAGACTAAACATAAATTACTTCAAAAGCATGAAAGGTATATTACATAGAAGGAAACTAGCAAATGCCCTCCCCCCACCAATGTTTTATTATAGCAGTGTAAAATTTGGCACATATTTTGCATATGGATAATTAGAGCATCACCTTTAAATATTGGACTCGTACTTATTGGAAATCTAATTCCATAAAAGTGTGGCATTGTGGAATATGACATCTGGAAGGGATGTTAGCGGTCACCTAATTCATCCTGCAACTGATGCAGGAATCCTTTCTGTTAACTCTTCTACTTGGCCCATAGAGAAAAGATTTGCTTAAAAACAGAAGATTTTTTTTCTTTTGCTTCTTACTTAAAAATTATTTTACTTGGAGATTAATTGGCAACATGCATTGGTATATTCTCTCTGGGAACTACTTATTCTTGAGAGGTATGTGAGAGAATATGCTTTCCTAAGGAGATTTCTTGTGTCTGTGACCATGTTGTTGATCTTTCCTGATGTCTGGGCACAATTGGCACTGTTAGAGAGCTGACCCAGGATGATTTTGTGGATTTGACTTAAGCACCATCTCCCACATAAGGTCTTTCCTGACACCGCTTAACTTGTATTTACTTTTTTTTTTTTTTTTGCTTTATGGTGAGGCAATCGGGGTTAAGTGACTTGCCCAGGGTCACACAGCTAGTAAGTGTTAAGTGTCTGAGGTTGGATTTGAACTCAGGTCCTCGTGACTCCAAGACCAAAGCTCTATTCACTGAGCCACCTAGCTGCTCCTTGTATTTACTTTGAACTTTTATTTTATCTAGGGCAGTTAGCTGGCATAGTGGACAGAGTGCCAGGCCTGGAGTCAGGAAGACTCATCTTGAGTTCAAATCTAGCCTCAGATACTTACTAGCTGTGTGACCCTGAGCAAGTCACTTAACTCAGTTTGCCTCAGTTTCTTCATCTGAAAAACGATCTGGAGAAAGAAATGGCAAACCACTCTATTATCTCTACCAAGAAAACCCCAAATGGGGTCATGGAGAGTTGGACACAATTGAAAATGATTCAACAAATATATTGTACATACTGATATGTGTACATGTTGTTGGAAAGGCACTGTGTCTTTTTTAATCTTTGTCTCCCCAGTGCCTAGCACAGTGCCTGCCACATAGCAGGTACTTAGCCAATGTTTCTTGGTTGACTTTATAGAATCTAAGAACATGGCACATTGTAGCAGTGTTGCAGGGGAAATGAGAAAGAAAGCATTGACCACATTCCACTTCTTTTTTTCAAGTAGAAGGAAAATATTCTTTTTCTGTGTTTCAGTATTTATATTTAATTCCAGAGGGGGTAGGTGAGAGAATTCAATAAGTGGTAGTGAACCTCAAGGAGAAAGGGGGCATTAAAGCATGAAAAAGCATAAAGCAAGTGGTGAGGAAAATCTGAAGTCAAAGAAAAAAAAGGACAAAGATATATAGAGAGAGAGTGCAGGAGAAGTCTATGAAAAAGGAAAATGCTCTCTTCATTTTTTATTTTCCAGCTCTGCTTAATACAACTTATCTACTCCAAAAGATAAGATACTGAGTTGACCCTGTCAGGATTTGGAATTATCATTCTAGCTAGTCTGCATTTGCCAAAAACCTGGTTTAAGCCATTTATCCATTCACTCAAGCAAAACAGACAGAGGGGCATCAGATTATTCTTTTTTTTTTTTTTATCAGCATTGGGTGCTTTGGACCTGACAAGGTGAACAGATAGAGCTGATCAGAGTAACGTCATGGCAGTGGCATGTGATTTTGAGGCCTATAACAGTGAATGGCTGAAAAGAGAGGGCATAGAAATGTCAGACATTTCTTTGCTCTGGGATTGGAAATGTCTAAGAATTCTGCACACAGGAACATGTAAGGTGGCCTATGCAATTTAAGGGGTGAATCTGACTGACTTATTATCTTTCTGCTGATTAAGACCTGTGCCAAAATCCAGGTGATGCACAGTAGGCAAGTAAATCTTCATAAAAGCATAAAGACTTTGCATCTGTTTTGGACTTTGGAGAGATTCTCAAAACAGACACACTGCTTAAAGAAGAGATGAGAGACTGAATTGCAGAAATCAGAGATATTTGAAAACCAGTAAATGTTATGAAAGTTGGGATGATACAGCCTCTTTAAGAAATTTTCGATCTCCGAAAATCCAATAAAATGTGCAGGTGGTGACTGTTTTGTTTCCATCTTTGCTGTCCCTGGTCCCTGGCAGTGTCTTGCATATAATAGGTCCTTAATAAATATTTGTTGAATTGTTGAATAGGAGATATTTGTGATTAACAGATTTTCTGCATGATTGAAAGAGTGAGAGAGAATGAGAATGAGAAAGATAGAGACCGAGAAAGACAGAGACAGAGAGAGACAAGGAGAAATAAAGAGACGTAGAGAGACACAGAGAGGACATGAACATAAAAAAGAAAGCACATTCTGAACTGAAGAAATCTGCTTTTTGAAATTAGGTTCTACATCTAGAAAACTCATACTGTAATGCATCATTATCAACAAAAGTGGACTGATAGGAATAATCATAGTGGCTAACATTGTTGGCATAGGTTTTAAGTTTTATTAAGTGTTTTATTTTTAGTATGTATTATTTGGATTTCACATCAGCTGTGTGAAGTAATCATTTTACAGATGTGGAAACTGTAATTTGGAGAGTTTAAGTGACCTGTCCAAGATCACATAGCTAGTATGTGTCAGAACTGCTGGATCTCAAGTCTAGTATTCTTTCTACTACATCACACTGCTTCCCGTATATCAGATAGATTAATCTATCTGGTAATAAAAATATAGAACCTACCCAATGTCATTAATTGGTCCCATGAAAACATAACATTTGGTGACCCCATGTCATGGGGATAATTAAATCCATAGGAACAGTTCTGAGGGGAGCAGACTCAGAACTGCCCTGGTAAGAATGGGGAAGCCAGGGTAACCTCAATTTGTAGCACGTTTCAATGTTATGATCAGTGGTGGTAATAATGTCCTAAAGATGCAATTCTGAAATGGTACAGGCCTTGGCAGTGTTATAAAGAGCTTTCTTCCTCATGGAGCCATTCTTTTTTTATTTTATTTTATTTTTTTATTTTAGGCAATTGGGGTTAAGTGACTTGCCCAGGTTTTGTCAAGTGTTTGGTCTGAGGCTGGATTTGAACTCAGGTCCTCCTGACTTCAGGGCTGGTGCTCTATTCACTGGGCCACCTAGCTGTCCTCCTCATAGAGCCATTCTAAACTAGTAACATGGCTTCTCACATGCTAATGATAATAGTGAACATTTCTATAGCTTTTCAAGTTTTGTGAAGTGCTTTATAGATATCTTATTTAATCTTCACAACAACCCTAAGAAGTAGGTGCTATTTTTATCTGCATTTTTACAGAAGGGGAAATTGAGGCAAGCAGAGGTTAAGTGGCTCGCCCAGGGTCACATAGCTAGTAACTGTCTGAGGCTGGGTTTGAACTCAGGGCTACCTTATGCCAAGTCCAGTGCTCTATCTACTGTACCACCTAGCTGCCTCTAAGTTCTGATCCCTTCCACATCAAATGAAAGTTAAAGGAAGAATGGAGAGAGAGGAGAATAGAGTTCAATTTCTCTCCCCTCTGAAAAAAAAAATGTAAAACCAATCAACTCAATTCTTCATTGTCACTGATTTCAGAGTTTCTGCTCTGGATCAGTAAAGGGTATTGCAGATGCTTTCTCCTTTCTTTTGTGACTTAATCTTGGAAAATTATGATTAAAATAACCCAAAGTGCATATAGAAAGGGTTGGTTGTTAACAGAAAAAAGATATTTATGGTCTTCTTCACAAGGTAAAGCTATTAGATGACCAAATGCCTAAAATAGGAGGATCCAGGAGAGAAGGGCCCATTAGGTTGGAATGTTGCCATTTTAAACTTCCAAGCAATGTATCTTTATGGTGCTTTGATAGGGTTATTTCAAATGAAGTTGCAGAATTATATTTGGAAGTTGGAAGTTAGGAGACTTCTCCAAATATAAGGAATGCCTAGTAGCCCTAACCTCAGATAGAAAGAAGCACAAATGTTTAAATTTACTTCATTTTTCTTCTCCTAGGGTTTCCAGCTGGGGAACTCCAAAAGCCTTTCTTCTGGGGAACAGCATATCCACGGTGAGTAAATTAAAAAAAATAAATTTCTCTTTTAAAAAAAATGATGGAATATTAAATTGACCAAGAAAGGAAGGGTAAAATAAAATAACAAAGCAAATGTATTTTGAATTCTGTGAATGTATTACCTAATAAAATAATAATAATAATAATAATAATAATAACTGACATTTACATAAATTCAAAATTTATAAAACACTTAATATAAATGATTTTGTTGTATTCTCATTCCAGTTCTGTGATGAATGTTATTATCACAGTTTTACAGATAAGAAAATTGAGGCTGAGTAGTTAAGTGACTTGTCCAAGGTCATATATCTAATATCAGAGGCAAGTGTTGAACCCAGGTCTTCCTGGGTCCAAGTCCAGCATTATATTCATTCCTCCTCATAGCACCTAGGATGAATAGAGGCCTTCGTGTCTGGCCAAAAGGGGCATTTATATCTGATGCTGGTCACTAGGGTTGATTTCATAGATCTATATAAATGAGGAATGGGAAAAAGCAAAGATGTGAATACTGTTGGTGAGATTTGGCTATAATATTTTAAATAGAGAGGTAGTGTGGAATAGTGGGTAGAGAGCTGTATTTGAAGTCTGGAAGACCCAGCTCCTGCCTTTGGTGCTTATTGGCTGTGTGACTTTGAGCAAGTCACCTAATCTCTTGGTATTCCAGGCAACTCTCTAAAACTATACATTTCAGAGAAGTTGTCCATCGGCACTGGCAGAGACAATCTATACCTGGGAGCTCCCTATGCTGATGAAATCACAGATGTAGTTTAAAAAAAAAAGTGTGTGTGTGTGTGTGTGTGTGTGTGTGTGTGTATGTGTAGATATTGCATGTAGTTGGCTGAAACAACTCCTATTTCCAATATGATTTGATTTATGATTTCCAAATTGCTTTCTTTTTACAGTGCTACCTCCTCTGTGAGGGAGGTAGCACAAATATTATATCAGCCCTTTAAAGAGCAGGTTACTGAGCCGCAGAGAAGGTAAATGAATTGCCCCAGGCCAGTGTCAAAAGGGAGAGTTAAACTTAGGCTTCCTTATTTTTATTCATTTATTTAATAAACAATTATTAAGCACCTACTGTGTGCTAGGTTAAGCACTGGGGATACAAAAAGAGGCAAAAGAAAGACCCTGCCCTCAAGGAGCTTACAATATAATGGGGAAGACAACATGCAAACAAATATGTACAAAGCAAGCTATAGACAAGATAAATAGGAAAGAATGAGCAGAGGGAAGGCATTGGAATTAAGAGGGGTTGGGGAAAGCTTTCTTCCTGTATGAGGTAGGATTTTAATTGGGACTTAAAGGGAACTTCTTACTCTCAGTTTAGTGCCCTTGGCCCTACTCTTAGCCCTGATTCTCCTAAACCTAGCACTAGCTAAGTGTCTGGTCCCAACCTGTCCTGTCTATGCTTCCTGCCCTTTCTGAAGTACAGAAGTCTATGAGACCTTAGGGCATCCACATGCCAGGTAAAATTATCGGGGGAGTAAGATTGCAGCTTTGATGGTACCACTTTGCTTTTGAAATCACAGAAGATGTAAGCTTTCTTTGTTAATGGATCCTCCAGAATCCTAGGTTGCTTTGCAAATATGAGTACAACAGCTGATTGTGGCTTACAACATCCTGATTAAAATGTAATTAGGAAATATTTAACAAAATAATTAATATACAATATATTACTTATTAATATGGCATATTATGTTATGTATGCTTATAAACTATGTATGTTAATTATTAATATTAAATGATTTAACAAAATAAAAAACAATCCAGTAGGACATAGATAATGTTAACATATCATTTTCTAAGTCAATGTATAGCACACAGAGATCCTCATGTTCTGTTTAGTGGCCTCCATTTCAATTTGTTTGATATCACTGCTTGATTATATCATAAGATCATAGCTTTAAAGATGGAAGGGATCTTGGAAGACATCAAGTCCAACTCACTTTTTAACAGATGAGGAAACTGAGGCCCAGCAAAGTTAAAGGACTTTCCCAGGGTCACACAGCTAGTGCTTTTCAAATGTATTTAAAGACTTGGGGCCAACTTCAGACAAAATGATGAGAGACTTGAAGATTTTGTTTGGTACCTTCCTACCTCTAGTTTTCCACTGACTTTCTTGACCCTTTGGAGATTCATCTTCTAGTCATTAGGTGGGCTCCTATTTTGTTTTCATTAAGTCATTTCAGTAATATTCAACTCTTTGTGATCCCACCTGGGGTTTTCTTGGCAAAGATACTGGAGTGATTTGTCATTTCCTTCTGCAGCTCATTTTACAGATGAGGGAACTGAGGCAAACAGGGTTAGGTGACTTGCCCAGGGTCACACAGCTAATAAGTATCCGAGGCAAGATTTGAACTAAAGTCTTCCAGACCCAGACCCAGAGCTCTATCCACTGAGTCACCTAGCTACTTGTGCTTTTACTGTCCCTTCTCTTTTCCTCTCCATTGTAGTCTCCTGCCCAGGCCTTGGTCTGTGGTCTTAACCCTTCCTTCCTTACTTCTCTCCTCCTTCAACCCTCCCCCCCACCCCAAACAAAACAAAACAAAACAAAAACAAAAACAAATTCACCTAGTCTTTTGTCCCATTCCAACTCAGCTATCTCTTAAAATGGAAAGCAATCTGATAAACTAATCCCTAGTGAGGTATTAATGACAACTCCTCCAAAAGTATTTGCATTTAAACAAAGGCATCATGGACATTCTAAATATCAATGAAGAGCTACAGATCTTTTTGTACTTTTTAATGTGGAGCCAGCACCATTTGGAAGAAAAACATTATAAAGATATGTTATTTTCAGTCCCAGGACCAGCCTTGGAATCAGTAAAACACTGAACACCCTGTTCAAACTGGTTTTTAAAAGCTGCCAGTGGTACATTTAATGAGCTAGATTTTCTCTGCTGGAAATGAATGATCCGTCCCCCAGCCAGCAAGTCACTATTGAGGAGGTTTGTGAGTGTATTTAGATTTTAGAAACAAGTTGTTTTTATGCATCTATTGATTTTAAACCTTTTATAACTTTGTTCAGAAAGGAGAATATTCATTTAACCTAATAGAATATCTTTATTCTCATATTTCATTTAATTATGTCTATTATAGCTATCTATTTAATTATATCTATCTATTTTATCTATTTATATCTGCCTATATCTGTTGTCTTTAAGCTCTTCTGAAACAGAGAAGAGTTACACATAGATTCAAGAATCTCCTTAATCTAACTGTGCCTCAGTTCCTTCATCTGTAAAATGAGATTTGACTAAATAGCCCCTGAAGGCTCTAGTTCTATAACACTACTATCTTTGTATTCTTTCCTACTAGTTGCTCCAGAAAGAGATCTGTTAGAGCATCATCTCCCCCATCCCATCCCTTCCAGAACAATTATTTCAGGGATACTTTCTCTGCCCTTTCAATTCAACTAGTCTGTCATTTATGTAGAGTCAGGACCCAATGAAAGAAAGACTGTCTTTGGTGCAGAGACCAGGAAAAGCTCTATACCAGGCCCTTGGAAGAGATACCTACTGCTGCTGATAAAACCCTGCACTATGTAAAATGACACGATAGCTCCATGATTGAAATGCATAATTTTACTGTTATTCCTTTAATGAAGGTTTGCAATGATGGAAAAACAGTAGGAAACATTTTATCAAATGCAAATTACCTTGCAGGAAGGAAATCACAAAGGAAAGAATGGCTATCAAGGGAAAAAATTAAATCTGAGCTCACTTCCTTGGGTACAGTTGAAACAAACAATTAGTATGTTAAGGATCATTATGTCCTGTAATAACATGTTACTTCAAAAACTTTAGCTGCCTGCTCTTTAGGGACACTGGGTATTATCTGCATCTAAAGTTCCTTTGACATCTGTGGTGCTATGCTGGCAGTACATGGCAAACGTACAGCAAAATACTCCAGCATTCTAGACAACTTTAGCCCTTGATCTAAGGAACACATCTCATGAATTAGTTTTAAGAGCAAACTTCTTATTGTCCTCTTCAGAAGGCTGGACAACCAAATAAAACAGTCAAGAAGTAGATATAATCTGCCACTTGGAGAATGATTTAATCTCCATTTATGGCTTTCTAGTGCATTAGATGTGATTGTAGATAATTTTTTTTTGGCTTCTGCAAAGATGAAGGAAATAGTGTTAACACCTCCTTTTGAAAACTTAATGGAAATCTGTTTAATGCTTCACAATCTGTGTCATGCATTTGCAAGCCTGTCTGTCACATAAGCCAGAGGAGAATGATTAGAGCTGACAACATAGAGATCCCTTTTAATCTTTGATCCTTGCTTTTTTGTGTGACTACATTAGGAGAACAATTTTATTTTTAATACTGTAGTGTCTTTCCAATGAATTCTCAGCTAGAAAATAAATGGCAAGGTAAGTGGCAGGACCTTTTCAATCCTGCTGATGGCTTAGGTATTTAGACTGAAATGTGTGTGCAGGTACACATATATGCATGTGTGTATGTATATGTATGTGTTTGTGCATGTATGTATGTGTGGGCTTATATAGTGCCATACACATGGGCATAAAGATTGTCTTACAATTTGGATTTTTCTTTCTGTTTTAATGAGAAAAAACATGACTAACATCAGGTTTTTCCTCCTGTTTTGTGGGTGTGGATTATTTTAGATTGTCTTCACCGTAGTTGATTTGAAAGTAGGGAGTTATTTGATATTAAGAAGAATATGTCTCTGAGATTCACCCTTATAACTTTCTCTTCCTTACATGTCTATGTTACAGGTCTCTGAGTTATGGTGCTATAGGAGTCATTGTTGGCCATGAGTTTACCCATGGATTTGATAATAATGGCAAGTAATGTTTCATCTTCTAAGTTTTCTTTTCTTTAGAACAGTGTTGAAGGCATGGGAGCTAATTGTTGCCTTTTGGGATCAATGGTCAAATTCAGAGGACTCCTTGATAATCAGAGAGGAATGGACATCTCTGGAACAGAAGTTATAGAAATTACTTCCAAAATCAGTTTGTGTCAGTTCTTTGTTGACAGTCTGAAGGTCTCACTTAAGTGTGTGATGTTGATTTTTAGATGTATATGCAGGAGGTAGAGTTCTCATTGGAACTTGCTTCCCCTGTGGTACCGGGTTCTTTGTTTTATATTATTTGCTTTCTTGGCATGGAAATTGAATTAAAACAAATGCAAAGGACCATGTTATCATAATAATGTGTAATGTGGAATATTACTCATGATTTTTTACTGGGTTAAACATTAGGAATTGGCAGCATGTGGCATGACAACAAAGGGAAAATAACTCATAAATCATCACCACCCTTTTAAATACATAAATACATAAACATTATCTACCTTGCCTTTTTGGGGAAAAAATATTCCTAATTGTACTGCTAGCCTTCCAATCCCTTCCTCTATTGGGGAAAACTAATCTTAACTAGAAATGGAATACTATGAGTTCTATGCCTTTCCTATAGCCCAAGCAGTTAGGTAGTACAGTGGATACAGTGCTAGGGCTAGAGTTCAGAAGATCTGAGTCCAAATCCAATCTCATATACTTATTAGTTGTGTGACCCCGGGCAAGTCACTTTACCTTTGTCTCCCTCAGTTTTTTCAACTGTAAAAGGGGAATAATAATATCACATATTTGTGGGATTGTTGTAAGGATCAAATGAGAAAATATTTCTAAAGCACTTAGCGTGTTTTCCAGCACATAGTAAGTGCTTAATAAATGATTTCTTCCTTCCTTCCTTTCTTCCTTCCAAAAAGGGTCAAAATATTCCAAAGTTTTCTTTTTCACAATGTAGAACTAAATAGGGAGGTAACATAGTATACTACAGTGGTTCTTTCAACAACAGCAATAAAAAATGTGTTGTGAACCCCCAAGGGTAATTTAATATATTATTTTAATACCCTCCATTACTCCATAATTATTATTAAAGCACTATAAAATAATTTTTAGCATCAATTTGGACCTCTTAAAAACACTAAATTGACCCACAGCTGTAGCAGATAGAGAACTGTCAGAAAGACCTTGTTTTATAGGATCGTAGAACTTGAAGAAACCTTTGAGACCATCCAACTCTCTCATCTTACAGATGAGGAAACTGAGGCCCAAGGAGATTCAGTGACTTGTTCAAAGTCACACAGGTAGTAAATATTAGAGATGTGATCAAGTCTGGCTTTGAGCAAATCCTGGTTGTTTGACCCTGCCCAGGTATCTAACTTGTCAGTGTTGCAGAATCGTTGCAGCCGTCTACATCAATGTGATCACAGGTCCAGGCTGCCATCCAAAAAATGTAGTGAAATATAATGAGTTTTCATAATAAAACTATGAATATTATAGTTCTACTAATGATTGACTCTAGAAACTGAGTGGGTGTGAAATTTCTGGAAGGTAAGGGGAATGGGGAAGGAAACAACAGTGTAGATTGTGTCAAGTGCTTTATAGATATTATCTCATTCAGTCCTTACAACAACCCTGCGAGGCAGGTGCTATTATGATTCCCATGTGGCAGTTGAGGAAACAGACAGACAGAAATTAAAGTGACTTTCAGGGCCATACAACTGCCATACAATAAGTTTTGGAGGTGAATTTGAACTCAGAACTTCCTGATTCCAGGCCGAGTGCTATATCCACTGCACCACATGTTTTTCAAGTTGGAAATTGCTGTTATTGTTTGTCCTTATTTCTCTATGAGGACCAATGATGTCACAAGGGTGATGTCTTGACTTTTACCTGAACTGGATTGAAGTGAGGCAGAACTGCACAAAGACTTCAGCCTCAGTCTCTCTTTCAGAGTCATTAGTCCAGTGGCAGGAGGAAAATCGGGATGACTGGCCCAGGATGCAGTGAATGATCTTGACCTTTCTAAAATAAGGTCTTTGCCAGGTCTCAGTTTGTCTTTAGCTTATTGTATAAGAAGTGTAAATATAAACCTGTACATAAAAGATAACATATTCAGAGTTAGAAGGGACATTGGAGGTAATCTAGTCCAACTTCTTCATTTTATATGTGAAGAAATTAAGGGCCAGAGAAATGAATGGACATGTCTGAACTTACGCAGGAAACAAACAGCAGGTTTGGAATCTGAACCAGTCTTTTGACTCCAGATCTAATACTCTCTGTACTCCATTACACTGTGAGGTATCATGTACCATCATGTCAAGTGAACCTACTACCACTTTGACTACCATGTCCCCTCAGATGCCGGTAGAGACATCCCAGCATCCTGAGCCCAAAAACTTTGGGAATAGCAGCATCCCCCAAACCACTAGCCCATATTGACTAGCAGCCCAGTCCCTATCATCATTGTGGAGGGAAGAAATCCTGGTGGAGAATGAGTCCACATTCCTTACCACCACCAGCAACAATGGCTGATCAAAGTGCCACCAGCAGGCAGTGCCCTGAGAGGCACACTGCAGACCACCAATCCTGTGCCCAGCCCAGTCCTCACTGCTATTATGGGAAAAAAGAGCTACTGTAGATAAGGATCCAACTATCCCCACCAAATGTCAACCAACTGCCACATATAGGGCAGGCAGAGCAGACTAGCTAAAAGAGGAACTAGACTAGCAGACTAGTTCTCTGAGGGACAGAAAGGGGGAAGCATGTGCTAGGAACCCCCATCTTAACCATCCTATCCCCTCAGACTCTGATGGAGATAACCCAGCACCCTGAACCCAAAACCCCTGGGAATAGTAATGCTTCCAGCCCAGTGCTGGCAGCCACCATTGTTTGGATGCAATCTCCATGGAGATGCAGCCTGGCAACTGCTCTTGCAGGTGTTATACCCACATCTTTTGTAGATCCAGAAAAGAAAGTTCTTGACACCAAAGTCCTTGGCACTGTCAAATGGTTCGATTACAGAAACTGATAAGATTTAGCCAGTGGGAATGACATTAAAAAAGAGACATTAACATCTGCTTTTACCTCTGCCCCCTAAGGATGATGGGACCTTTCCATTTGACTTGTGGCTGAGACCTTCCATGTATATTGTGTCCCATGTTAGAAAGTGAGCTCCTTGAGAGTAGGGGCTGCCTCACTTATCTATTTATACTTCCAGTGCTTTGCACATATTAAACAATTATTTATATATTGATTTATATAGACAGATCTATGTTTTTCTGATATTTAAGTATAACTACAAAGTTACCTATGACTGTATGTGGTTTACAGGATAATAGCAATAATATATAGCCCTGTTTTATACATCTAGTATTTTTAGAGCACTTTTTGCAAAGTACTTTACATGTATTATCTCATTTGATTGTTGTTGTTTGTCTGTTTTCAAAGAGGACCAGTGATATCATGGGTGACATCTTGACTTGTGCATGAATTGGGTTAAAGTGAGACAGAGTTGTGGAAAGACCTCAGCCTCATTCTCTCTTCCTAAGTCATCAAAGTCCAATGGCAGGATGAAAGTCGACTGCTGATGGCCTGGGATGCAGTGGATGACTGTTGGCATCTTTAATGCTTAACCAGGCTCTAAGCACTCTAATTCAACTAGCTTAGTCATTCAACTAGCATTGATTAAGCAAATGATGTGTGTCAGGCACTGTGCCAAGTACTTAGGGTACAAAGAAAAGCAAAAGACAGTCCTTGCTCTCAGAGAACTCTCAGTTTAATGGGGGAGACAACATGCAAACAATTATGTATAAATTAGATATATACAGGATAAATTGAGGTAGTTTCAACAAAGTCATGAAGATTAAATATGACTGAGAAAGACTTCTTGTAGAAAATGAGACTTTGGCTGAGACTTGAAGTAAGCCAGGGAAGTGAGGAGGTAAAGATGAGGAGGGAGTGTTCCAGGCATGGGGCACACCCAGTGTATATGTCAGGATATGGAGTGTCATGTGAGGAGCAGTAAGAAGTCCAGTGTCCCTGAATAATAGAGTGTATTGGGGAGAGGTAAGGTATAAGAAGACTGGAAAAGTTCCAGTTTATGAAATGTTTTAAATGAGAAGCAAGATTTTGATCCTGAAAGTCATAGGGAGCCACTGAAGTTTATTGAATAGTGAGGCTACATGATATGATGGGAAAAATCATTTTGACAGCAGAGTGGAGGAGAGACTGGAGTTGGGAGAGACTTGAGGCAGAGAGGTCAAGAAAAATGAAGATTTAGAAAAGGTCAGTAGATTTAGCATCTAAAAGATCATTAGTGAGTTTGGAGAGAGAAATTTCAATTGAATGAAGGGAAGTAGGGGGGACCTGTGGGAAAACAGAGTGTACTCTGTCCACTCTACCAGACATTGTGCTGGGGATGCAAAAAAAAAGGAAATAATTCCTGCTTTCAAGAAGCCTACCTTCTATTGGATGAAAAATTCATGTGTATAACTACATAAAAAATTTTAAAAATACGTACATGATAGATTAACACAGTGATGCTTAGCACAGTGCCTAACACATAGTAGGTGCTTAATAAACATTCATTGAAGGTACTAGAAGTTAGAGATAATCAAGAAAACTTTTATATAGAAAGTAGACATGGGAAATAGAGTGCTGTATGTGAGGAAGAGTAGAGTCGGTTTCTCAGGAAGAGGAATAATATATGAAACTAAAAAGGTAGATTAGAGGCAGGGTTGTAAAGAGTTTTTTTTAAATTTTAATAATTATACTTTATTTTAACATTCATTTATTAAAAACAATTAATTCCAAATTCTCCTCCTCCTTCTACCTTTTTTCCCATCCACTGAGAAGGCAAGCAATATGATATCAATTATATCTGTGAAGTCATGCAGAACATATTTACGTTAGTCATGCTGCAAAAAAAAAAAGCAAGAAAAATAAAGTAAGTGAAAAAGTATGTTTCAATCTGTACTCAGAGTTCATCAGTTCTGTCTCTGGAGATGGGTGGCATTTTCCATCATAAATCCTTTGGAATTGTCTCAGATCATTGTATTAATTAGAGTAGTTAAGTATTTCCACAGCTGATCATTGTTACAATATTACTATTACTATGTACAATGTTCTGATTCTGCTCACTTCAGGTTGCATCAGTTCATATAAGCCTTCCCAGGTTTTTCTGAAACGAACCCTGTCATCATTTCTTGTAGTATAATAGTTTTCTATGTGAAGAATTTTAAAAGCTAAACAAAAGAGTTTTACATTGAGAGCTTAGTGAATTACTGGAGTTGATTGGGTAAGGGAGTGGTGTACAATGTGAAGGATGGATTGGAGTGGGGAGAGTCAATTAGGAGGCCACTGCAATAGTCTAGGGGAGAGGTGATGAAGACATTGTGGCTGTGTATTCAAATAACAGATAGGAGAGATGTTATGGAGGTATAAATGAAAAGATTTCATAATCAATTGAAAGTATGAGGTGAGGGAGAATCAAGAGTCAAGGCTGACATTGAGGTTTTGAACGTGGGAGACCAGAAAAATAGTGGTATCCTCAACAGAAATAGGAGCATTTGGAAGACTCTTGGTTTTGGGGAGAAAGGTCATGAGATCTGTTTTGGACATGATCAAGTATAAGATCATAGAATGAATGAATGCGTCAGAACTACAAGGGATATTAAAGGTCATCAAGTCCCAACCATTTCATTTTGTATGGGAAGAAACTGAGGTCCAGAGAGATCACATGACTAGTGGCTTACTCAATGCCACACAGCCAGTGAGTATTTGAGGTCACATTTGAATTCAAGTCTTTTGACTCTAAGTTTAGCACTTTAGCCACTACACCATACTATTGAGTTTGAAATGTTTACATGATACTTAGTTTGAAATGTTCAATAGACAGTGAAATGACTTGCAGAATTTATATATAATAAATAGCAGAATTGGGATTTGAGCCCATGCATGTCTTATGGATGGAAATCTAGTGATCTTCCTACCACACAATGTTGCTTATCTGTTGTTGTTCATCCATCATTTTCAAAGAGGACTAATGATGTCCAGGGTATGTATCATTTCATCTCAGGAATGAACAAATGCCTTAGGTGGCATGAACAAAGGATTGTTAGTCTTAGAGGTAAATAGCTCAGATCTTGATTTCTCATGTTCCTTTTTTGACAGTGACCCAAGTACACAGTTCCTGAAAGGTCACCCCACATGAGACATTGGTTATTTATTGACCCAATTTGTTGACTTAACCAAGGGGGTTGGTAACAATCCCCTTACAACTTTTCATCTACTGTCACAGGTAACTTCTGTAAATTAAATTTAAAGGCAATATTTATTATTTGGTCTTTCTATTATATAATAACTCATCTAGATTGAGTAAAATGAAAAAAATGAATAAAACAGTATAAATGAAGTTACCGCTTTCAACTTGTATTCTTCTGGGAGCCCTGTAATCATTGAATTGTCTCTTCACATCCTGTCTTCAAAATCAATATATTTTGCTTGCATGGAGAACATGCTTTCTTATTAATTTTAATGTATTCTGCTTCTCTTCCAGATTGTCCTTCATGTCCGTGTCTTTGTTTTCCCAGTCAGTTATCTTCTCTTTGCTTCTTAGTGAGACTGGCCACCATGGACTCAAGTTTTCTGTTTTGCCAATTATATTTTCTGTGCTGGCCATAAATTCTACTTTAATAATTCTTATATCTCTTTGAGATCATTCAGGAATGTCCCTCTTTGGTTCTGTGTTCTCTTGGGAAGCTACAGGGTCTTCTGCCTCATTGGGTGTTGTTTTATTTTCCTTTCTTTTGCAAAACTTACCCATAGATTCCTGAACTCTTTTACCTGATCTGGAGGTCATATTTCCTTTTGCTATTGCTATCTCCCCTGCTGCTTTATCTATTTATGTTGAAGGGTTTTAACTGAGTTTTGTTCTTCCTAAGTTGTTTGGTAATTTCAGTCTTTTCCCTTTATTTTTACCTAATACTCACTTTCTGACTCCCTTTCCTTTGATAGTGGTTTCTCTAGGGCCTGGATCACAAGGAGTCTCAGCCTTCCACTATATTGGTCAATTAACAGTTCACCAACCAAGGTCAGCACAGGTTCACCTGTGCTAGGTAGTTTTTGGGGGGTGGGAGGATAGAACTTGCTCCTGCTGGATGTTGGACACTTTCCCTCAGCGTTTTTGGAGTACCACACAGCCACACACAGACATGTCTTGTTCCATTTTCTCTATTCCTCCTTCCTCTGGCCAATTTCTGATGTGGCATACAGAACTGCCATGCTGCTGTCATGCCCTGAGCAAATTTCTACTCTTTATATTGCCAGAGCATTTGGAGAAAGGGAAGGGAGGTCAGAGAACAGAGTTTAGTTCTGTTGCAAGTGGATAGTTATGCATCCCTGCTTCTGGTGGGAAAGAGGGTACTAAGTTAGCACATTAGTAGTTAGAGATTAGCTTTTTTCTTGAGTTTTTAACCTTCTTTGGGTTCTTGGTATCCTATATTGTGGAGATGACTAACATTGCTTTTTCTCTTGTACATAATTCCTATTTTGGAGAGAGTTAAGAGATCATGAGGATTGGAGGAAATGCCTAGTAGTCTATCTTGTTGATTACATGACTTTTAGTATACTTTTCACTATATCATACTACAATGACTGTAATAGTGGGAATGCCACTTCACGGTGCCTTCTGCATGGTAAACACTGTAAGTATTTATTGATTGTTTGAATCATTCAATTTCCTTTGGAGGTATAAGAAGGATGGTGTCTTCAATTCAATCCAAGAAGGAAGAAATTTGGGGGCAAGATGGTTGTTGTGGATGCCTTATTTGTGGTTATCTAGTTTTACCTCAAACACTTCAAATGAGTCAAGTTCATACAAATATTTAGAGGGCATGTTTGTTCTTTATGTCATTAAATTAAATCTAAATCATTAAATATCCATTTGTTTTCAATAGGAAACTTGAATCTACTTCAGATGCGTTGACTTATTTTTTTTTTTCCAAATGGGGAAAGGATGAAGAGTTCATAAGTGAAATGAACAAATATAGGACATATATTTTTCTTCCATTTAATTTTATACATTTTGGCTCTAGATGTATGTCTTACAGTGACCTCCCTTATCTAAATAGGACAGATGTTCTTTCAATCCCCACTGGTTACTGCGAAGGGGTGCATAATGGAGGATCAAAGTGCCTCCAAGCTCCTAGAGACTAGAAGAAACATATTACTGTCGAACTGAACCAAAGTCTCTAGCACAGTGGACTGGCTGACTCACTGGGCTATTCTTTTGGATCCTGTGGAGATATCACTGGTTTAATGACATTGGTTCTCTGTCCTGAACAAGTCACATCAAGTAAAAGCAAAATATCCAGAACTAGCTAGACTACTTGCAGAGCTAAACAAAAAGAGTAATAACTGACATTTTTATAGGGCTTGAAAAGTGATTGAGAGTTGGAAGGGATCTTTAAGGTCATCAAATATGAAATAATGAAACTGAGACCTAGAGAGGGAAGTACATTGACTAAGGTCATAAAGGTAGTAAGACACAGAGGTATGAGTAGACTGTAGGACCTCAGACTTCAGAGCCAGTGTTCTTTACAGTGGATAGAGTGCTGGGCCTGGAATCAGGAACATCTGCATTCAAATTTGACCCTAGACATGTATGAGCTGTGTGACCTGGTTCACCTAACCTCGGTTTCCTTCAGTTTCTTCATCTGTTAAATGGAGATACTAATAGCACTCACCTTCAGAGTTGTGAGGATCAAATGAGATAATAGTTATGATGTACTTAGGCCTGGCACATACTAGGTACTTAATAATTCCTTCTTTCTTACCTCCCTCCCTCCCTTCCTTCCTTCCTTCCTTCCTTCCTTCCTTCCTTCCTTCCTTCCTTCCTTCCTTCCTTCCTTCCTTCCTTCTATCACACAAAGGTTGATCCTCACAAGAATTCCTTGAGGTAGCACACTATAAGTATTACTACTACTTTGGGAAATTGATGAAGTTGAGGAAACTGATATAGGGAGATCAAATGTTACGTAGTTATTACACAGTAGAACTAAGACATGAGGCTAGGTCCCCTGCCTTCCAAATCTGTATTTTCACTACTATTCTTCTTGGTTTCTACCATATTTTCTTCATTTATATTATTTTACAAGTATATTCTATATTCATTTAAAGAGAGGAAAAAAATTAAAAAATTCAACTTTCTCTACAATCTGCCACATTTTTTCCCAAACTTAAATGCAACATTGGAGAGAAATACACTGGCTGCCTTCAGGAACTTGGCTACTGGAGTTGTTTGTTGGACACTTCCTTCCCTAGGCACACATTTTGCAAGCAAAGGGTGGGCCCTGGGCCACCATACTCCTGACCTTGCTTTGTCCCTGTCTCTGGCTATTCCCACTCTGGGATACGTTTGCCAAGGTTATACAAGCTCAGTTGTTCTGGGCAACTAAATCACAGCCTTCCATAAATCAGGAAAGGGGCTTGGAGTAGACTAGGGATGGGTCACAGAGAACAGGGAAGAAATTAGCTTTGTTATGTAACAACAAAATTCTCTACCTTTTTTTTTTATTAGGCAGAAAATATGATAAGAATGGAAACCTTGATCCTTGGTGGTCTACTGACTCTGAAGAGAAGTTTAAAGAGAAAACAAAATGTATGGTTAATCAGTATAGCAGCTATTATTGGAAGAAAGCTGGATTGAATGTAAGTAAAATTATGGAGTTTCATAACACAGGTGATTTCTCCTATGTGTTATTTCCCCATTTTGGATGACAGTCAGTCATATAGTGAACCTGTTGTTTATTTGATTATATTTTAGCACCTATATACCAGTGTTACTGTGAGGATTAAATGAGATAATAATTATAAAGTGAGCACAGTACCTGGCACATAGTAAGTGCCATATAAATATTAGCCATTATTGAGAATAATAGAAAATAGACAATCCCCAAACACAGATAATTAATAGGTTTTAACATTTGCTAGCAAATCGTATGATATGGGAACTGGACCTGTGATTCATTTAATATGGGGAAATCCATAGTGAAGAAACTCCTTCCAATACTGGTACCTGTTTTACAACTTACTTTTTCACATACATACATACATACATACATGCATATTTATATGTACACATATATATGTATATATGTGTATTTACAGAGAACTATTTCTTTTTTTAAATTTTCAGTTAATAAGGATTTATATTCTCTTCTTTTTATGTTCTCTCAACTGTAGAAGAAAAAGAAAATCCTTTTAAACAAATGCATATAGTCAAGCAAAACAAATTCTATCAGCCAAGTACAAAAATATAGACTAAGAAGCTATCTAGATTACTGAGAGGTTAAGTGATTTACCCAGAATCACACAGCCATGTCCGAGGCAGGGTTTGAACTCAGTTTGTTCTAGAGTCAAGAGCAGCTCTTTATTCACTGTGCCAGGTTGCTTCTTTTACTAAGATGTAATTTATGATTATAATTTATGAACATTTCCCTCCATACTACTAGTATATATTTACAAATAACACCTCACTAATTTGGACTAATTAGTGAATCAATGAGCGTATCAGTAGTATAGCCCTTTAATAAAAGGAAATAATTTTTATTATTTTTAAATATATCTTTAACCTAGGCTAACAGTTAAGTAACATTTGAAATAAATACATTCGCTGTTTATGTCCAAATGATGTTTCTAAATTGCAAGACATTTCTGGTTTCTTAAGTATGTCAAACATTAGCAATCTTATTGACACAATTAATTTGCACATCAAATCTTTTAAAAAAAGATATTCCAAAGGTTAACTACAGGCCAGGTCTTATAAGTTATCATAAATTCTAAATGAATGGCATTCAAAACAATGAAGTTTTAGTAGATAATTTACATATCCTGTAAATCAAAGTAGAGTTAGTAACTTTACCCAAACTCTGGAAGACTCTTTGAGATTCTGTTTTCTAGTCTGTGTTATAGGGATTATCATACCTCTTATATCTACTTCATAGGATTGTTGTGCAGATCTAATAAAACCGTTTGAAAACATTAAAATGTTAAATAAAATGTTGACGATGGAGCTGGCGCTGATGGTAATGGTGATGAAGGGCAACATAATACAGTGGAAAGAGTACTGACTTTAGAGATAGGGGGCTTCATTTCACATTTTCCCTCCCTTACTGTCTCTCATGGAGGTTAGGCAGGCAGCCACATATTTATATATTAAGATTAGAACTTGGAGTAATTTGGTTCCTTTGGACTCAAACACTCCTTATTTCAGGAGCTCAGTCTTAGCCTTAATTTTCCTTTTCTGTACAATGAGGGGTTTGGACAAGATGGCTTTTCTAGTTCTAAATCTATGATCTTATGATTATAGAAACCTTAATTTATTGCAAAAGAGGAACATAATTGACAGGTAGAGATGGTTTTTCATTTTTTTTTCTAAGTAGCTCCCTGATGTGTCCCAACCATGTGACTATAAGTCTGGAAATAATAAGTTTACTTTTCATTACACCTTCTTCCTCTATCTGCCCTCTGGGAAATTTGTTAATGGAAAAGTAGAAGGTAAATGAGAAAATAAGAAGCTTGGAAAATCTACAGACTGGTTGATCTACATGTAAACAATATAAACTTGATTGTGGAATTGTCAGTCACAACTCAGAAACAAGGATGGCAAAGTGGCCAATTATTCACCAAACTTAGCTCACCCTGAGCAGAGTATCAAAGCTAATAATTCCTATTGGCGACATGTTTCTTCATTATCTTTCTACTTTGTAATCCCTGTCCCACACAGTAGAAAATCTTAGAAATGTTGGTTGGGCTGGTGAAGTTACAGCATAATGTTATGTACTGCAAACATTGTGGGGATGGGGATAGACATATATAGAACAAGCAGCTAAGTGGTGCAGTGGATAGAATGCCAGGCCTGGAGTCAAGAAGACCTGAGTACAAATCTGGCCTCAGACACTAATTGTGTGACCCCAGGCAAGTCACTTAACCTTGTTTGTCCTAGTTTTCTCATCTATAAAATGAGCTGGAGAAAGAAATGGGAACTCACTCCAGTATCTTTGCCAAGAAAACCCCAAAAGGGGTGATGAAGAGTCAGACATGACTGAAAAACAACAACAATCATCTGTAACTTACTTGACAGTATGAAAATACTTTTATAAGAATACAATCCATATTCTCAAAGAAACACATTTTATTTTCTGCCAATGGTTGAGTGTATCTACATCCCTGGTGTTACTAGGAAGTGGAATGTTAAAGCCTAAGACAGGAGCTTTTATGTAGAGAATCTAAAACTATTTACCATCTCAAACTTTTCACATTATAAAATTTCATCTTATGTTGTAAATTAAAATTTATCCTATTTTCAGAAATCTCTCTGAAAAAAGTTGAGAGTGGGTGCTGATATTGTAGATGACAGAATCAGAATCCAGAAAAAATTCTGAGATGCTAGAATGATGAATTGAATCCAACTGGATGAGCTTTAGTAGAAATAAATGCAAATTCTTTCACTTAGATTAAAAAAAATCAACTGCTGCAGAAGTAAATGATGGGTTGTAGTTATATGGCTAAATTGCAGTTCATGTGAAAAAAAGACCTGTAAGCTCAGTTTTTTGACAGAACTAACATACACAAGTACACACATATATATACATGCAAAGCTCATGTGATTTTAGTCCACATTAACTGATATGGTGTTCAGAATGAGAGTGGTAACAGTTTGACAATATCCTGTCTTTATCAGACCCTATTTTTTTTTTTTAGCAATTCTGGATACATTGACAAAGAATGACTTATTCTAAAAATGACAACTAAGATAGTTTGGATTCATGAAGCCATGCTAGAAAAGGGTCAGTTGAAATATCTAGAAATGTTGAGCCTGGAGAAAAAAAAATGCTTAAGGGGAGCATAATTCTGCTCTTTAAATATTAGAAGGGTTATCTAACGGAAGACAGATTATACCTGTTCTGCTTGACAGAGGGCATAAATAGGAGCAATGTGTGGAAGCTATAAATTTATAGGGACAGCAAGGTGGTGCAGTGGATAGAGCCCTGGACCTAGACTTAGCAAGACCTGTGTTCAAACCTGACCTCAAACACTTACTTGTTATGTGACCTTGGGAAAGTTACTTAACCTCTATTTGCCTCAGTTCCTCAACTGTAAAATGGGGATAATAGCATTGTTGTGAGATAATCTTTTTTTTTTTTTGAGTGAGGCAATCGGACTTTATTAAGTGACTTGCCTAGGGTCACACAGCTACTAAGTGTCAAGTGTCTGAGGTCAGATTTAAACTCAGGTCCTCCTGACTCCAAGGCCAGAGCTCTATCCACTGAGCTGCCTACCTGCCTCATGAGATAATCTTTGTAAAGCACTTTGCACAGTGCCTGACATATAGCAGGCACTTAATAAATTTTTATTTCCTTATAGGAAGATAATTTTTTACTTAATATAAGAAAAGGACTGTTATACAGTCAGAACAGTCCAAAACAAAAAGCGTGTCCTGTTCCAGTAGTGAGTTTTCCATTACTGGAGGGTTTTCAGGAACACTGGATGACCACTTATTGAAATTTTGTTGAGAATATACCAGATAATCTCTAGGAGGGTCTGTGAGTTCAAAAGGTGTTTGTTACCAGCAGGGATGAGGTGAGGGTGGGTGAAGTTGGGACTTACAGTAGTATACAAAGAAACAGAAAAGATAAACCAATGGAGAGGAATTAAGTTATTTTCCCCTCCCCTTCATTTAACGTTCAGCATTTATGGAACACTAACGATATATGGAGAGGCAATGTGGTATAGTGGAAAGACATAACTTTAGAGTCAGAGGGCATGCATTCAAATTCTGGTGCTGATATTTGTTAATATATGACCTTAAACAAATCTCTTCCTTTCTTTGACTTTAGTTTCCCTAATTGGTAAAATGAAGTTTTAGACTTGATGGATGTTTTCCCTCCCTCCTCACCCCCTTATCCCTCCCACCCAGTCCCTTAGCCAATAGCCACAGATTATACTTCACCTGAAGAGTCATTATGCAGATAGCTATTTTTGGTCCCAGAGGGGAGAGAGTGAAAGTATTTATGGCTGACACAGCACAAGTCCATCTCTGCAATGGGAAAGCTAACTCAAATGATATAGATCTTCATTTTTGCATAATAAGGATAGGATTTTGATTCATTTGATTTTGTTGGACTCTAGCATATGGATTTCAGGTTCAGGAGCCTAGCCTTAGAGTATCTTTGACTTGCAAAAAAAATCAAAATATTTTGATCCAGGCTAATTTAATGTTCTGATGAACAACTGTCTATGATTAGAATTGGGAACAAAATCTTACTGTTATTAAAAGAGGAGCTAGGTACACATGTGATTGATTTCCACACCTGTTGGAAAGTTCTGGTTAGTATTGTTTACTGTTTTACCAGCAATTAGCACAGTGCCTGGCACATACTAAGCATTTAATAAATGTTTATTGAATTGAATTTATTGAATTGTCTCTGAGAGTTGTCAACAGGCAATCACAACTTCATGAGACTCACATGGAAACTAGGTTTATTACAAGAGAAGTGAATATACATGCCCTAAGGCAGAGCAAAGAGTTCATGATCCACATAGAAGTTTACATATTTATGACAGTACAACAAAGGAAGGAGAAGAAAACAGAAATCTCCTCCTAAAGGGGACTGGCATGAGAGGGGAAAGGTGCAGTAAAGGTGGGAAAAGGACAAAACCCCTCTCAAAAGAGAGGAGCAAGGTGATGGCAAAAGCAGTATTCTTTTCCCTTGGGAACTGCTACACCATGAAGATAGGAGGGTCTGCTTCTCTACAAGGGTCCCAGCTGCACAAGCACTTTCTCAGCCTAAGGCAGACTGACTGGCACCTGTCTTGACTTCCAAGGACACACATGGAGTCCAGCTTGCCATATAACATTTTGTTGCAAACAACAAATTATGTCAGCTCGGGGAGGGGCATTCATTCTTGACACATTTAGGTCCTCCTGCACACACTGGGCTCCGTGTTTCTTGAAGATATGGCAACTCAAGAAGACAGGTTAAGTTGACTACAGGGCAACAGAACTAATCAAATAGATATCTGAGAGGTACTATGGAGTAGTGGGTAGAACTCCCCATGCTGGTAGGTAGTAGAGTCAGGATGATTTGGCTTCAAATTCTGCCTTAGATTTTATGGCTATATTATTACTATCATCATGACCATGGGCAAGTCAACTAACCTCCTGAGCCTCAGTTTCTTCATCTATAAAATGGGCATAATAATAGCACTTACCTTGAAGGATTATTATCAGGATTAAATGAGGTAATAGATGCAAAGACCTTAAAACACCATATCAATGGGAGCTGCGTTAGAAGGGCTCTAGTTAATTCCCTCATTTTACATATGAGGAAACTGAAACACAAAGAGGTGATATGATTTTACCCAATTTACCCAGCTAATAAGTAGTAGATCCGGGACTTCAAGTCTAAGGCTTTCGGGCCTCCTGAGTTCTTTACACATTGCCAAACTGCTTCCTCCTTTAAATTCTGGAAGAAAAATTAATGGAGGTTAAAGGTTGGTAACCTCTGCAAGCTGTCATCTCTGTATGCTTTGTTAATTTGTGGAGAACAATGCATGCCCACATTCAGAATACTATTTAGACGATCAGTGTAATTAGAGAATAATCAGTTTTATTGATATTCTTTTTTCCCTAAAGTCTGAGCCACTTAATATTTTCTTACATTTTATTTTAGTCTATTTTATCCTACAAAATTGGCATGAAGGAGAGATTGAGGTGGGGGGGGAAAGCAAGGCAGTAGCATAAGAAGACATAAGTTATTACACTGAAGAGTACCTTTCAAGGCTTTGTTTGCAATCACAAAATATATGATGACTTACTTTGATTTATTAGGCATAATTTTCCCTTTAAAACATGCCCACCATGGTGTTTGCTCTAATATATTGTGCCTTAGCTTGAATGACAGTTTACTGTGAAGCTGTCTAATGGGACACTTTTTTCCCCTTTCTATTTTCTAGGTGAAAGGGAAGAGGACATTGGGAGAAAATATTGCAGATAATGGAGGTTTGCGAGAAGCTTTTAGGGTATGTATTACTGTGTTTTCCATGATGTTTTAAGAAGTAGTATATGAAATTTATACAGGTGTGCCTAACTTCATATATATTCTGAAGATGGTTGCCATAAAGAAAATTTATTATATTGTATTTCCTCACTGACTTCCATTATAAAAATGGATATATATGCACACATATATATGTGCATATACATATCTATATCTTTCTATATAGTCTTGGCTTCTGGTACAAAATCACAATTAAAAATGTTATATATTTAGTGAATAAGTTAGAATTTCTAGGTAACACATTCATGGTAACATTAAAAGCATAGTTAAATATTGTTCCTCCATGAAAGTCTGCCATAATGTCACACTGTACCATGGAAGTGACCCTGGATTCTCAAGTGCCTCTGTTTCCATGTGCCAGCAGGTTACAATCTCTGTCACATCCTTCCAAGCTGGAAGGACTTCAAGTAGAGGGCTAGAGACAGTCTATATGTCTCTTGTCAGAGCTAATTGTCAGAGTCTAGCTACTTTTAGAGATATTCATCACCAGAAAATTGCCCCTCCCATAGTAAAACATTTTTTCCTTCATAGTAATACATGAAAGAATTTCTACTAAAGTATTAAGGGGTTGTGATCTGTATGGGAGTAAAGGGAGTAACCACACCAATGAAATCAAATAAAAGTAAATAGTATCAGAGGATATAAGCATAGGGTCTGGAACTAAAATTTAATTGTAATGGGGGACTCTCAGGTGAGAAATGCCTTCTACCAATTCAGATATGCACCTTCTCTACTACTTGAAGTCTTAGAACATAACCTAGAGCACTAAGAAGTTAAGCGACTTGGCCAGGGTCACACAGCATATATGTATCAGAATAGGATTTAAACTCAGCTCTTCCTGGCTTCAAGTTTAGCTCTCTATCCATGAATCCAACCTGTTTCAATAATAGTGTTATTTGCTAATAGTACATTAAATACTTCTACCTGGGGATAAATATTCATGAGGCAATGTATTTCTTTATCTTGCTATAAATATTCTCTTTTAAAATTCCCATGCTCATAGGCTGAAAGTTATGATGGTCCATTAGTATTTAACTTTTTATTCCCTGGTAAGAACAAAGGTAATTATTTAGTTATTTAATTTTTGGTCCAGACCTATGATTTCATCTGTTCAGAGGACTTCTGCACAATTTGGAAATCCCCTCTGCTCATGAAAAGCAACTGTGATTAAGTGACTTGTTCAAGGTCATATAGATAATATGTCAGAGAAAAGACTTGAATCCAGGTCTTCCTGACTCCAAAGTCAATTTCTATATCCACTGCCAAACTTCTCTAATATATTAAATAAGAACTTTTATTTATAGTTGTTTAGCCCTTTATAGTATGTTCATTCTGTTGGTTTGGTATCCTTTTTTTAAGCTAGTAATCCTAGATTCCTCGGTGAGCTACAGCATAGACTAACATTTCCATGGGCCTCCTCCATTGAATGCCTCATGATATATTATATTATATATCATTATATTACATGTTATTATATTATTTGCAAGATGGTGAATTTTGCAAAGCAGATTTCTTCTAATCAGGACATACCTATTATTGAGAGGAAATACTGAAGTGGAAGTAGTGCTGAATTTTTAGTCACAGCCTGAGTCTGAATCCCAGATCTGCTACTATTACCTGTATAACCTTGGACAAATCATCTAAAACTAGATTATGCCTAAAGTCCCTTTTCAGCTTTAGAGCTATGGCTTTATGATCCTGAAGTTACTAGTAAAAATAACAAACATCACTCTATTTTTTTCTCTCCAGGCCTATAGGAAATGGATAAATGATAAGAGGCAAGGAGTGGAAGAAGATCTCCTACCAGGCATTAAATTCACCAACAATCAGCTCTTCTTTCTGAGTTATGCTCATGTGAGTAGCATTTCAAAGAAGGTTTTAAATATCGAATGTGTGGCTTAGGCTTGTTCTCTTAACTAAAGTTCTAAAAAAAATTAAATGAGATAAATTTCAAGTTTCCACTAGCTCATGACAACATACAAAATAGCGTTTCAGGTTTCGATTTTCTTAACTGCTTTTGCAGCATAACAAACTGCTCTGGACTGCAGTGGCTGTTGATATCACCGAGTGCTGTCCATGGTTCTGAACCCCAGTACTGGGGACACCAGTGGAGAACCTAGGTGGTGCAGTGTATAGAATGCAGGGCATGGAGTCAGGAAGACTCATCTTCCTGAATTCAAATCTGGCCTCAAACACTAATTAGCTCTGTGACCCTGGGCAAGTCACTTAACCCTTTTGCTCAGTTTCCTAATCTGTAAAATGAGCTGGAGAAGGAAATGGCAAACCATTCCAGTATCTTTGCCAAGAAAACACCAAATAGGATCACAAACAGTCAGGCAGGACTGAAACAACTGAACAACCATGGTGCCAGGTGCTTTATGTACTTGTTTGCAATAGCTTTATTCTTCCTGCTACTCATTTTTGATATTTGCATAGGACATCTTTTGGGAAAGAGTTCAGTGAGTTGTGCAGGCTTTGCTACTTATATGTCTTTTTTTCTTATATTTCCCCCCAATTTTATTAATTTATTTATTTTTAGTTTTCAACATTCGCTTCCACAAGATTTTGAGTTTCAAATTTTTTACCCATCTCGTCCCTCCACCCACTCCAAGATGGCTTGCATTCTGAATACCCTTTCCCCTAATCTGCCCTCCTTTCTATCTCTCCCCCTTCTCTTATCACCTTCCCCTTCTATTTTCCTGTAGAGCAGGATAGATTTCTATACCCTATTGCCTGTATATCTTATTTCCCAGTTGCATGTGAAAATAATTTTTAACATTTGTTTTCAAAACTTTGGTTCCAAATTTTCTCCCTTCCTCCTTCCCCACCCACCCTCATTGAGAAGGCAAGTGACTCAATACAGATTGTACATTTTTTATTTTCCTTTTTCTTTTTTTTTTGTGTGTGAGGCAGTTGGAGTTAAGTGACTTCCACAGGATTACATAGCTAGTAAGTGTCAAGTGTCTGGTCTGAGACCGTATTTGAACTCAGGTCCTACTGGCTTAGGCCATTTTTAAGGTGTTATTTTCTTCAGTATTTTTTTTTGAGTCTCCTTTAGCAAGCTATTGATTTGTTTCTCATGATTTTCTTGCATCACTCTCATTTCTCTTCCCAGTTTTTCCTCTACTTCTCTTACTTGCTTCTCAAAATCTTTTTTGAGCTCCTCCATAGCCTGGGACCAATCATATTTTTCTTGAAGGCTTCGGATGTAGGAGATTTGACTTTGTTGTCCTCTTCTGGTTGTATGTTTTGATCTTCTTTGTCACCAAAAAAAGATTCTATGGTCTGACTTTTTTTGTGCAGTTTGCTCATGATCCCAGCCAGTTACTTGAGTTATAAACTCTTTGTTAAGGTAGGGGTCTGTTTCCAGTGTGGAGAATGTACTGTCTCAAGTTTCAGGGGTTTTGTGCAGCTGTTTTCAGAGATACTTCTAGTGGCCTGTAAATTTTCAGTTCTTCCAAGGTCGTATGATCAAGGGTGAGATGTTTACTCCTTTTCTGGCCTGGGCTCTGGTCTATGAGTGACCACAAGCACTGTTTTCTGCCTTGGAACTGTGAGGAGGTTCCCTCTCCACTGCCACTACAAGCTCCACTGCACCAGTGCGCCTCCTCTCCCCAGGACCACCACCCAGAACTGTGACCCAGATCCAAGCATGGGCAAAGCAAGAGAATCCTGCCTCAGCACCAGCAAAGAGATCCCTGCAATCTCCCTCTGATCAGCCACTCAATTCCCCCTCGGTCTGTGGGCCAAGAGCTCTGAAAGCAGATGCTGCCCTGGGCCATACCAGGACTGGGGCTGGGACTGAGCTTCTCTCTCACAGAGGTCACAGACTTTTCTTACTGACCTTCTAAGTTGTCTTTAGGCATTTGTGGCTTGAGAAGTCTGGAAACTGCCACAGCTGCTTGTGATGCAGTCCTCTGAGGGCTGCTCCGGGTTTACTGAGGGCTGGTCTTTGCCTGCATGCCCACACTGAACAGTATTCATCTCCCAGCCAGGCACAACACACCTTTCCAATCAACCATCCGTGTTGTCTTGGGCTGGAAATTTGTTTCACTCTGTCTTTTTGTGTGTTCTGCTGCTCTAGAATTTGTTTAGAACCACTTTTTACAGGTATTTGGAGCAGTTTGGGGGAGAGCTCAAGCAAGTCACTGCTTTTACTCTGCCATCTTGGCTCTGCCCTACATATCTTTTTTTTAAACATTTAATTTTTAATCTATCTATTTATCTATTTATTTCCTCAATGCTTCTGATATTTTACTAGGCCCTCTCCTAACTTTATGGGAATGTTTTCTCAGTGTTACTTTATTATTTTTTTTCAGTGTTACCTTAATCTTGACCAAACAAACGAGCTCTTAGTAGAACTGAACATCTGCAGAAGTATAGCTCTGTCATGGTTTGTTTCTGACTCTTGCCATGTGAATCAATTTGTCCTGACACTTGGAGGGGTCAATGACTTTTATGTGTTAATAGGAATGAAATTTTCTTCAAGATGTATGTGTGTGTGTGTGTGTGTGTGTGTGTATGTGTGTGTATGTGTGTGTGTGTGTTGGGGAGACCATGAAGCAGCTTCTGAATGGTTCAGTCTACAAGAAGGTGAAGGCTATGGTGTGCATAGGCCTCATACTAGCTAATCTCCGGGCTTCTTCATGAATCATTTTTCCAGGACTTTACCTGTGTCCATAATCATAGAATTACCTAAGTTTCAAGCCAGGAGGGACCCTAGAGACTGTCTATTTGTATTTATACTTATATAAAAATACTCCTCTACTGCTACATCATGTTCTCCAATAAGGGAGAGCCCATTACTGAAAAGGAAGTCTTATTTAACTTTTGGAGGTTTTTTCTTCCATTGCACCTCAAACTGTCTCCTGTAAGCTTCTAACTATTGCTTATATTTCTGCTTTCTAGAGACAAGATGATTAAACCTAATTACTCTTCCATATGACAAATCTTCAAATATAGAATACTGCCACAATGTACCCTTGATTCTTCTCTTCTCCAGGCTAAAAATGCTACAGTTTCTTTAATTGGGCCCCAAATATAATGAACCATGAGATTATAGATAGCAATATGTATCAGAAGCAGAACCTGTCATAATTAGTACTTTATGAAGTAGTCATATAAAAAAAACATTTCCTTAGTCTTCAACTTCCTTGACTATTCCATTTATTCAACACTCTAGGTGTCTCCTTTTTCATTTCCATGACTCTTTAAAATCTAATTCTCTTTATAGCTTTCTGACTATTCTTTCTTTGTCTCTTTTGCAGGCCTTTTCTTCATCCTCTTGCCTCTTAGCCTTGGCTTTCTCATAGGTGTCTGATGCTTAGCCCTCAGGCCAAATACAATTTTCTACAGGAGGTTGTTCCTGGTCTTCTAACTGTTAGTGCCTTCTCTTGTAAGATTACTTTCCATCTACTCTGATATATCTTGTAATTACCTTATTAGTTATTCTCTTCCCCTCAGAAAGTGAGCTCCTTGAAGGAAGGAATTGTACTGGACTTACTTTATATCCCCCACTACTTAGCATGGTGCCTGACATAGTAAATGCTTAATAAATACTTGCTGATTGACTCTTGTTGACTATGTAAGTTTTGGATCACAAATAGGCCAAAATGGAAAAAAGCAAAATTGATTTGAACCTTCTAGAGGATAGTAGTTATTTGTTGAAAGAGTGGGAAGGGTTGGAAGGTCCTATAATTTATAGCCAGATTCTTAATTTCTCTTGATAGAAGCAATAAATTAATTTATAATGTGTCTATAATCATTCACAACACATCTACAGTCTACATTTAAAATGTCTTCTCAATCTGCCCCCACAAACTAGTTTTGATTTAAAAAAATGAGATATTTAGACTAAAAGAAGAATGATCTTATATGACCCAGAGCATTACTAATGAACAATTGGCCTTAGGGAGAACCTCACTGACAAGATGGGCCAGTTGTAAATCAATTTCAATTTGAAAGGTTACTTTGAAAATTTCCTAGCACATTGGATTGAAGTTGTTTTTGTAAATGAATTGGACAGGATTTTTTTTTTCTTCCAGGAAAGTAGAAAAAAAATTGGTAAAAGACACAACATATCCTTTCAGAAATTTCCCAAATGATATAAAAGATAGCAATGAAAAGAGGACAGTAAAAACAAATTTGCTTTAGCTAGCTTCTGAAAAAAATAAACAATTGAATTATAAAGTGGAACTTTAAAAAATCCAGTTCAGAGTTGCACTGTCTGCTTGCCTACTCCTATGAACAAGAACTTCAATGATTCTTCCTGATGTAATTAAAAAAAAATCACCTATTTGGAATTGTAAATAGTCAAATGGATTAAGAAATTAATTTATATGATTATAAAACTGCAAATGAATATCAGAGGTGTTATATTGGTAGTCTGTCTTCTGAGACGAATAAGAGAATCCTAACTAAGCTTATTGCTTACATGTTTTTTTTTTAACCTGTACAGCTCAGTACTTTTTTCAAGTCATATTGGTTTACCTATGAAGGACTCAGTGTTCTTAAAATTATTCCACAGTTTCAGTTCAATTAAATTCTTAAATGCTTACTATGTGTGAGGCATTGTATTTGTTCTTTAATTTCTTTGCATATATGATTTTTCTTTCCCCAACTAGATAGTAAGTGCTTGTTAATTTATAGTATTATTTGAGATTCATTCATTGCATCAATTCAGCAGCTATTTATTAATCACCTACCATGTCTAAAACACTGTACCTTTGTGCTTGGGGAGCTTCAAGGAATGGTCCCACCTAAGATTTAGCAGGGTTCTCTCTTATGATTCACATTGATAGAACTGGTAACAGTGCTTTTTCTACCATCTTTTAGTTCATTAATGGTAATGTCTCATTTCTACTTTTTTTCTATTTCCAAAACTCATATTGTGGAAGTAAAATATTAATGCTGTACTTAATGTTTTAAATTTGTCTGTTGGAAATAATTCTTATTTATTTAATATTATTCTATATGCAAGCATTTATAGTTTAGACAGAGAACTATCCAAACTGACCATAGTTCCCCCATCTATGCCATCAGACATCTGTCTACTCAGAGACAGTTTTTGGTAACATTTATATGGATCTTGAACAAATGAAGGAGATAATATGTTAAAATAGAGTTTTGGGTTGACACTCTAAAACAAGTCACCTAATTTTCTACTAAAACTATTCAATTCCTTCCTTGACTGCTCTTTACCAAGACTGAAAAGGCTACTTCTCTGATCGATATCTTAATACTTGAATGGAAACAAGAATATTACCTTTAGGTCTTCATTTTCCAGATGAGGAAGCTGAAACTAAAGAAATTGCCCAAGATGACACATGTAGTAAGTGGTAAGGCTGGGATTTAGAACCTAGACAAATATTTGGCCAAACCTACTATGGAGAAAGGGATGAATGAATGAATGAATGAGTGAGTGAATGAAAGGGCAAGAAAGTGTTTATTAAGTACTTATGTGCAAAGCACTGGGAAACAAATAGAAAAAATACAGTCCCTTCTCTCAAGCAGCTAACATTCTAATTGGAAAGATGACATATATAGGAAGTTTCAGCTGAAAGTCAGATGGAAAAGTCCCATAGTCCACAGGGTATGATGACAAAGCAAATGGTAATGCATCTTTTTTAATGTTTCCAAAGCAAAAATCACATATGTTTATGATTTTGAACTGTTTGACACTGCCAAAGACTGCTGATTACTTTTGTGTGTTCAAGCAGTGACTTCAGCACCTGCAGAAGTAGTTGCCGGGTTGCCTTTCCATAGGCGTTACTCAGTGATGGCTACAGGAGTTAGGCTGGTGGAAAGCTCAGTGGTTTGGGGGCACTGGCATTCCTGAGATTCTTGAGCTTATTACTGATTGGTAGCAGTTAGTGAGTGGTAGGTTTTGGAAGTAGTTAAAAAAAAGTGGGCTCTTTCACTGGGATTATGATAACTCAATGTTTCGGTGATGACTGTGGGGGCCACACTAGAAGCAGAACTGGTATTTTTTGGGCTGTTCTCCCCAGGGTAGCTAGGTGGCACATTGGATAGAGTGCTAAAGTCAAGAAGACTCATCTTCCAGAGTGCAAATCCAGCCTCAGACATTTACTCACTATGTGACCCTGGGCAAGTCACTTAACCTGTATGCCTCAGTTCCTCATCTGTAAAATGAGTTGGAGAAGGAAATGGCAAACCACTTCAGTATCTGCCAAGAAAAAATGGAGTCATAAAAAGTTGGACATGACTGAAAAATAACTGAACAACTTTCCCACGGCTCTTGGGTTCAGCGTCCTGGACTGTGTCCATTAAGGTCTTGAAAGGAGGTAGACAAAGCACTGTGCTAGACAGTAATGGGGACAGAAGGATAAAAGGAAGACACAATCTGTTCTAGGGAGCTTATATTATGATTGGAAGGAAAAACATACATGAAAATAACAATTCCTTTTTTAGAGTTAGGAAAATAAGAATAAGATATGATTAATAGATTCAGTTCCTGAGGGAGGTAGTGAAGATGTGACCTTGGGTACAGGTAGAAGGATTAGCTTTGTTAAGGTGGAGGGCCACCTCTTTCTCTAAGACTGGGAGAAAAGAAGAGAGGATGGGTAAAGACATTGAAAAGTTTAGAAAAGTGGATGAAGGGAATTGACGAAGTTCAAAGAGGTGGCCTTCTGACTTCTCAGTAAAGTAAGAGGTAAGATTTTCTGTTCAAAATGAGGAATGAGGGGTAGAGTTGGAGACTAGAGAAAAGATTTGGAACAGTCATTGTGAAGAATGTGATTGAAAGTATAGATGAAGAAAAGATTGCTACATAGCAGTCAGGGCCCAGTTGACATTATATATCACAAATTTGTCGTGGAATCAACATGGAGGAAAACAACCTTGTTATCATAATGTATTCTTTGTTGAACTACCAGTATTGAAAACTAGCCCTCCCCCCTTTTTTTCTGTATAGCAAACAACAAAATCTGATAGATTTGCCTCTTCTGCTATAGACTGAATAAAATGTGACTCAACTAACTCTATCTTGCTTAGGCTGAATACATAAAATCTTATTACACATAGTACTCTTTAGCTTTGCTGGACTCCACAAATGTTGCACCCAACATTCACTTAGAGACCTTTCAGATCAACTTTCTTATAGGGACAGACTGCATTCCATTGGTCCATTTGAATGCCATAGAATGTTGCTGATTGGTGGTGTATTTTAAGTACATCTGAAAAAGCTATACCGACCAAATATGTACCCTGCGAAAAAGAAGGTGGTACAACAAGTTATCTTCATTTGTGTGAAAATAAATTTCTCTTTCTTTCAGTTTGGCTTCTTACTTTATTTGACCTCTAGTTATATAGACCTTCTGCTGGGTGATATTCTCCTTGGACTCTTAAGGAATCTAAGCTGAGAAATTCCCTGCCACAATTAGCATGATTTCATGAATTTTTCTGTTTGGCAGCTTGAGAGAAGGAATAGAGGGAGAAGTTGGGAAAAGGTACCCAATGTTGAGAATTAGCAGAGAGATAATGAATGGAAAGTCAAAGGGGAAGAAGATTCAAGGATGAAGGAGAGGGTATTATTGAAATGGTTGAGGGTTAAGACTGGATGGAGAAGAAAGGGAAGTCAGAGTAGGGGAAATCAGTAGGAATGAAAGGACTGAGGGTAATGATGAATGCACATAACATGAGAAAGATAAGGGAGGGGGAAATTGAAGGTCAGGTGACTTTAGAGTGAATTTCAAAATTCAGACTTTGGAGACAGTACAATTTTGAGCAACAGGTGGAAGACTTGTGCAAGTGGGGGGTTGGAAGTTAAAGGACTTGAGGAATTAAAGAAACTATGAGGACAGGGTATTAGAAGTATCATCAATAAAGATATTAGAGTCTCTAAAGCTGTTGGCATGATGAGGAAGGGAGAGAATGACTCTGAACCAGGTCCAGAAGTCAGGCCATTTTCCATGATCTCATCTAATACCTGAAGATATTTCAATGTTGAATTCAACGACCATGTTCAAAAGTTGGTGACAGATTTTGTACAAATTTATGTTTCAATGAAGTGAATAAAAATTACCTTAGCATATATTTTTCTTTAATTTAAAAGACTTGACCTCAAGTCTCATACTTCATAATTGACTCAAATTGTAGAAGTGTTCTGCCTGACAAAACTTTCAATTCTGAGGATCCTACTGTTCTCAAAGGAACTGTTGTACATTTTAAACAATTGTCGGTCATCGGCTACATAATTATTCTGCATTATGACATTTCATGTAACCGGTAGAGAAATTTAATCCATGTAATAATTCTCTGTGTCAGGTGAGGTGCAACTCCTATCGACCAGAAGCTGCGAGAGAACAAATCCAGATTGGTGCTCATAGCCCTCCACAGTTTAGGTAATGTGCACCATGATTTTTGCTTATGTGATTTACAGAATAATTGGTCCTCACAAAGTTCTTGAATGTAAGGTTCTTTTAAATAGGGCTTGTTTTATTCTTTGTTATTTGAATCTCCACCCCCTATCACATGGTTTGGCACATCATATGCACTTAATAAATTCTTATTGACTGACTGATTGATGAATCACTTACTAGGATACCTTACTTGATATAGTAATCCTACTCAAAATATGCTTGATCTTAGGAGAGGATACACAGTTTAGATGTGATAAAATTCTTTTCGTTTTTGAGCTTACATCCTGGTGAAGTAGAGAGCTTTGACAGACATATAGACACCGTGTATTATTATGAATTATAGTTAAGAGCATTAGAGTAGTTAAAAAAAAGGTGTTTTGTTAGATGGGGGAAGGTTCTTACCGAATTATGGTGTAAGAGCATCAGGAAAGACTTCATGCAGCACACAGGGTTCGAGTTAGCCTTTTTTTTTTAGTTAGATAAGAATTCAACAGTCAAAGAAGTACATTCTAAGCATCTAAGCATAGAAAACAACATGAACGAAGGCATGAAGGTAAAAGAATTCAAGCATGTTTTGTGGCCAGAAAGTAGTTTAATTTGGATATTTAAAATTTATTTAATATTTGCTTTCTGTAAGTTGAATCTAACTATCTTATCCTTAATATTTTGGAGGGATAGTGTTTCAAAATTTCCTCTACACTTTAGGAGTTTTATTCATTCTTGCCAGTAAACAAACCATAACAAACTTTTCAGAAGTTGACTGTAAATTCACTACCAACATAAAAATCTAATCATTGTGTTGGAAATTCTCTCCCACTGTGCTAAACTACCCTGAAAGGCTGACTGCATGTAATGGACTAAAGTGTGCTCCCACTGATAAAGGATGAAGATGAAAAAAAGCACACTTGATTAATTGCTCAGCAAAATGGTTTTAGAGCCTACTGCTGTATGTACTACCAACTAGTTGCCTACAATGGGAGATTTTATATAATCAAAAATATTTGTTTATGAATTTTTTGTTATAGTGTGATACCATGAAAAATAACCTATAGTAAGGCTATTTTACTTAAGAAACATGCTATTACATTTATTTGAATATCTGAAGGTAATAATTCTTATAGAAAAAATGATCAATTATCTAGATTTCAGGATCTCTGGTCAGCTTCTTGAAAGTACAGTCAGGTAATAAATAAAATAGGGGTGATGGACAGTTTATTTCTGGTTTTTTTAGTCATAACTGCAAAAATATCATTGGCACCCATATATTGTAAAGGGAATTCATGCCTTTCAGGACACTGGATAGATCATGCTGTGGCAAATTTTTAAGAGTCACACAGGTTGGCAGGCATGTATAAGTTGTAATCTGCATCACTGGCGGTCATGCCCACACTAAAGTCAAATTAGAATATTGGAATATCTAAAATAATCAGAGAAAAAAAGCAGCCAACTGATACCCTACATTAATCAATCAATCAATCAATCACAAGCACAAGTACCTGTTATGTTACTGGAACTGTGCTAGCTTTTGGAGTTATATGCTCCATTGGTGTTCAGGCAATGTTAAGAGGTCTAGAGCTCTCAGCTTATTTGTCAGACTCCTTTTGAGGGCTTTTGGAAAGACTTTGAAAAGGGTCAGATAGGGAGAATAGGTGTGGATGAGCTTTGAAGAAAGTAGTCTGGTGGATAAAATCACAGATGTACCAGTGTCAAAGCATTTCCATCTATCTACCTAGAATTTGGGTAAACTATGAAGTAGAAATATCTCCTTTAAAAAGGGACCTACAATTAAATAGATAAGAAGGAAGTTCCCTGGAAATTGAAGTCTGGAGCTCATCAGGGAAGTAAGATCATCAGGATAAAGACAAATATAAAATAGTGGGTAAAAATACTCTTTGGAGTGCTAAATAGTCTTAATTAGAAGGCTGGTTAAAAAAAATGAGCTTATACAACTCACAAACTTGTTGAACAATACTTATGGATATGTCCACCAATATTTTCTATACCTAAAATCTCCTCCTTTGACTGTGAAAAACCCAATTCTAAGGCCATGTGCTACACAAAACCTTCCCTGATGCCCCTATCACAACACCTTTTTTTTGCTCTTCTCTTATGTACTTGAGTATAAAAGACAATAGTACAAAGTGCCTGTGTATAGAATAATGAACCCTCAAACTAAAGGCCAATTAAGGGGAAATATTATTAAAAACAGTTATAAAGTTAAAAATGCCAAGTGTAGGTATTTTAAAATTGTACATGTTATTCAGTAATTTAAGATTTAGTATATGCATGGCATGGTGGAAAGAACACTGGCATGGCAGTAAGGAGATTTCATTCAGCAATGCAATTAATGACTTGCTCTGTACAGAGCACTCTGCTAAATGCTGCAAGAGAGACAAAATTTAGATAAGACATGGCTCCTGCTCTTTTGGAGTTTATGGTCTATTAGGTTTGGCTTCTAGTTCTGACCATGCCATGAACTAATTGTATGACCTTAGATAAGTTACAAGGACAGCTAGGTAGTACAGTGGATAGAGTGTTGGGCCTGAAGTCAGGAAGACTCATCTTCCTGAGCTCAAATCTTGCCTCTTATTAGCTGTGTGACCCTGGGCAAGTCACTTAATCCTGTTTGCCTCAGTTTCCCCATCGGTAAAATGAGTTGAAGAAGGAAATGGCAAACCACTCCAGTATCTTTGCCAAGAAAAACCCAAAAATGGGAACATGAAGAGTAAGACATGACTGAAATGACAGAACAGCACCAACAATAACAAAGATAAGTTACATAACCTAATTTGACCTCACTTTTCTTGCCTATAATTTGAATAAGTTGGACTGGATGATCTCTAAAATTCCTCCCAGCTCTCAGACTAGCTACCAGTGCTCTTGATATCTTTAGTTATAATAGACACTCCAATGAGATCATAAATCTAGAGCCGGAAAGGATCTTCTAGCCCAACTCCCTTATTTTACAGATAAGGAAACTGAGGCCTATGCAAATCAAGTCACTTGCCCAAGCTCCACTTAGATAGTAAGAATCAGAGGCAGGATTTGAACCTGACGCCTCTGCCTCTAGAGCCAGTGTTTCTGTCCTGTGCTATCATCAGTGATTCTATTCAGGAAATAATGATACTTATGAAGTAAGTCATAAATGTTTTTGTCATTTTTTTTCAGAGTTAATGGTGCAGTAAGTAACTTTGAGGAATTCCAGAAAGCTTTTAACTGTCCAGTCAATTCAACAATGAACAGAGGTACAGAGTCCTGCCGGCTTTGGTAGATGGTCCTTTCCCCCATCCCGTGCTGACAGGGTTCTACTGTGAGAAAACTGCAAGAATGAACTCTAACCTACCACTGCTTCTGACTTGTTTATCTACAGAGATGGGTTATATTTTTATTGCATCTTCATAATTTCAGTGCATTGTGAATCTAATCACCATCTGATCAGGACTTTAGGACTGTTCAAAATTAAATTTTAAAAAAAGAGAAGAGTAAACGTCTTAAGGAAAAAAAAATACAACCACCCCCAAACCCTGCTGTGGTTGTAGTGCTATGATGCATCACTGCCATTACCTATTCTACTTCTTCATTTGTTGTTAGCAAAAGCTAAGTGATATAGTACCATTTTAATCTAGTGCTTTGCAGGAGGGCGAAGCCATATGTGCCTATAAAAAATTCAATTTTTCTAGCCTGCAAGTCCCCAGGATGAAGATACTTCCTGGTGGCTCAGGAGGTCTTGCTATACTGTAGGATACAGTGTTTGATGGTATATAGTCATCATTACACAGCATTTCCTAAATAATTGCTTACAATGTAGGAGAGACTTCTGGGATTTTGATTTTCAAATCAAACTCTGACTTTCAACTTTGGGTATTCTCAGGATGGAATAACAACTCATGAGATTGACCACCATTTTAGGAGCAATAGTAGCTAAGTAAAAAGGCCCTGCTCCTTGGTTTAAAAAAAGGAAAAAAGGAAAAGGAAAACACTTGGAATTTATCACAGAAGTTGAGTAAGAATGGATACTATGACCCAGAAGGCAAAGTTAGCCCAGAGACATGGAGGCAGTAGGAAAATCCAAAGGAGACCAGGTTTGCAAATGATTGTCTAGTGCCTCACCCTATGACCTGAAGGCTGTGTTTATGTAATAAGAAAAGTCCTGGTTCCAAAAGCCTTGTTCTGCCCAGTTCCTGTCCATCAAATTATTCTTAGATGTTTTTGCCTCCAATTCTAGGATTATTTTCTGAAAACAGAACATGTCAAGAAAATGTTTCCAAGTTCTCATTCAGGAACTTAGTCTTAATTGATTTCTAGCTCAGCATCATGAGACCCTCACTGATTGTAGGGAAAGCCAAAGCCCCTTGTATTTTTGAAATTATAATCTCACTTCATTTTCCCTTCCTCATTAAAAAACAAAGACACTAAACATAAAAGGATGATTCCTTGATTCCTATGTGTTGTGGATATATCAATTTATTTCAAAGTTTCTTGTAAAAATCCATAGGGAAAGAAAGGAATAAAATATCAGTTTCTTTGCAGAGGAGCTTAGAGTGAAAAAGAAACATGATTTTGAAATCTCAGCATATTTAAGTTGGGATTTTAGCTTTATGCAGATTCTCTTTCAGCTGAATTATCTTTCTTTAGCCTGGGCATGTCAAGGATAAAACCTTAGCTGTCTTAATGGAGTTAACTCACATGTCATGTTCTACTTATTATCCATTTTCTACCTTAATTCATTGTATGTGGGATGAGGGAGAATAGAGTTGAAATGATGAAAGAAATATTAAGACCTCAAAAGAACAATCAAATCTTGAGAGTAAACACTAGGAGCAGTTCTGTTTGATTCATCTGAGGCATTGTTAATCGTTTTGAAGATGATAAACTGAATACATTTCAATATTAATCTTTAGTTGAGACATCCATAGCAATCCATAGTACATTGATATGTATGACCAATTATTATGTACTTTTTTGGGGGCGGAACTGGGTAGTCATGTGGCTGGATTTGGGGAAGGATTACTATCAGAAGAAAAACCTTGACATCAAACTGGGCAAGAATTTCTGCATTTTCCCACTTGATTTTGCAAATAGATGGCCTGCTGAAGGAGGGCTACCTTTCTATTTTATCAGTCATAGATTCCAGTGTGACACTAGTTTATTTTTTTCTTCATTATGAAACTGGGTTGGACTCATGGTGCTGATGCATTCATTTTCCTCATCAGCTTCTGTTTTCGTACTTGAATTTACTCTTTGTTTTGACAGTGAATTTGGACATTTAATACTGGTTTAGGAATGCATGGAGAACACATTTGAATTGTGATTTTTCTCCAGGATGTCCTTGATTCAACTCTGAATGAATGTCCTCCTGCAGGTCAGAGAAAGTATTTGAATGAGAACAGTGGGATAAGACACATCATTTCATCTGCTTGTTATAAGACGCTGATGATCACTTATCTAGAAAGATAGAGGCCAGAGGCTCACACAGTTTCTGAAATGTGTGATTGCTTTTTCTGTATTAATTTTTGTTTTATGGTACACTCATAATGCAAGATATTTATTTTGGCTAATGTAAAACATAATTCTAAGTGGGATAATTACCCCAATAACATAGGACTTCATAACAGCTCATGTTTGTATAACACTTCATAGTTTATATAGAGTATTTTCCTTATAACAATGTTGTGAGGTAGGGATAGTATTATTATTTCTGTCTACTAGACAAGGAAGGTGAGGAAACTGAGGACCAGAGAAGTTACATGATTTGCCCAAGGACACGTAGCTAGTTGATAGAGCTCGGACTTGAACATGAATTTTCTGATTTCAAGGCTAGTGTTCTTTAGATGATGCCATCCATTTCTTATATATGATTCCTCACATACCTGTGTCAGGCACAGAGACTGTGATTTTGTCCTCCAGGGAACTCAGGGTGTGGGACATCACTCCATTAACATATAACATAACCACTTATGATTTGATAGTGAAGTTGTAGAGTTGCCCAAACCACATGGAAATTAAGTGACTTGCTTAACGTCACATAGTCATGAGTGTCAGAGGCAGGAGTTGAATGTTGGTTTTTATGGCTCCACACCCAGAATTCTATCCATGATGTCACACTGCTTCTACTACATATACATTAACTCAAATATTCAAGTGTTACCATTCTGCTACTATGGCTTATATGTTTGTCAAGAGTCCTGAACACAATAGACATTAAGACACAGGAAAATGTAACCCAGTAGAATTTGTAGTGAAGGGTAGAGTTTGCTTCAGGAATATAGCTTTAATGAGAAAGTAGGATTTGGGAACTAGTACATCAAGTGGGCTGAACCATTAGAGATCCCCTTTCCCCAAAAAGTGCCTTGAATATGGTAAAATGCTACATATATTACTATGAAATGAGAGCTGTGATGATGATCACCATAGATGATAGATTTAGAGCTAAAAGGCACCTGGAGGCCACTGAATCCAGCCTTCTTATTTTATGGATGAGGAAATTGAGGCCCTTAGAGGTCAATTGTGACTTGTCCAGTCACATAGCTAATAAGTATCTGAGGTGAGATTTGAATCCAGGTCTTTTTGGCTATAAGAGCAATGCTCTCTCCATTTCACTTTGCTGCCTTTTAGGAGATAACTGATATTTAATGATAATTGATCTTTGTGTAGAGCTGCTATCTCACCAATTCTTGTGCTGAGTGCTATTCCCAAGAAATGCTGACTAGGTTTAACAATAACTCCCATTTTCCTTATCATTTTAAGGGTTACAAAGTGCTTTTCTAACATGTCCCCATGAAGCAATTTCTATATTATCTCTATTTTATAAGTGAGGAACTTGAAGGTATCCTGAGTAATTTGTTTGTTTTCCAAGGTCAGAAAAGCCTTTGGGGCTGGTAGGGTGGGAGTTTGTTGAAAGATTAATTCCATGGCTTGTCAGCAACCTTACCATTCTATGCAGTTTCCACTGGGTGCCTGGTAGTGGGCTGAAATTTCCCTTTTTCCTTTTATGAGATAGGCTTTGATGTGGTTAATACAAGCCCAACATTCATAAACTACTGTGGAGTTTATTTAGTGCCGTTCTCAGGAGAGGCTTAAAGTCCAGCTGATAAATATAATGTCACTTAGCCTCACGACACCCCAGGATGATAGCCAGGAGGTAGGATTGGTCGAACAGGGACAGCCATCTATAAACTGGAGATGCAAATGCCTGAGGAATAAAAAAAGGTTTAATGACTTGTTAGGCATCACAGAGCAAAACAGGTGCAGACCCTTAGGACCTTGGGCAACTTTCTGACCCCTGATATCTGGAGTTCTCTCTCCTAGACTCTGCCACTTTTAAATACTTTTACACAATCACTACTCCAATGGACACATATCACTTAATGCATTTCTTAGTCAATATCTTTTACATAAACACTCAGTTGCATATTAAATTACTGAGGGATATTGTATGCTTATGTCACAAGAAATAATCCTTGACTCCAGAGGCAGTGCACCACTGGGTTGAAAAAAGGTCTTTTTTCTGAGTATGCTTTTTATTGTCTGAATCTTTGTCTAAAGATTCATTTCGTTGTATTCCTCTCCCTTCCCCTAACAATGTGGACAGTGATTTTAATAACAATAAAAATTGGTTCTATTTCTTGCATTCTTTCCTTATATCTAGTGAAATAAATTGGTCATCCTATTTCAAGGAAAAAGAAGATACTGAACACTAGCATGACTTTCTAATTCAGACTCTGAAAATTGGAATGAACTTACTTTTTTTAAAGGCAAGGAAAGAGAAGTGGGTAAAGAGAAATGGTCATTGATTTTCTCCTTGGTAAGACAGGGAAGCAGTATTATCTGTAGCTTTGGTATAGATTCAGTTAAATTAAAAAAAAAGACATATTTTGAATGCCTGATGTATTCCAGTTTCTGTGCTAGATGTTAGGGATACAAGACAAGAAGAAAACAGTCCCTGCCCTCAAGGAGCCTATCTTCAATTATAGAATATATTGGGGAAAAGGTAGCTTGAGAAGACATAAGCAGTCTTAATCATTCTAGCTTTGCACAAGTGGTTGGGTTATGCCACACACCTTTACTGTCTATGATGAATCAGTTACTGTGCTCAGTGAAGGGGAAGACACAAATGAAAATGACACAATCCCTAACCAAAAAGGCCTTACAATCTAGTAGGAGACATGTCACATACACAGGTAATTATAATAGAAAAGGACTAGAAAGGATAAGAAAGCATTTCAGGTGGGTGATAAGATAAGGGATTAGGGAAGGCTTCCTAGAGAAGCC